TACGTACGTACATACATACATATATAAGGGTGAAGGATGTACCTGCTGCAAGAGGAGATGGCCGCCACTAATCAGCCTTCCGAGACCGCATCTACGTCACGGCCAGAGTTCCGCCGCCTGCGAGATGCCGAAGCTCTGGCGAACATCTGCCCAAAAGCGCTGGAAGTCGCCTGCAGTCGTCGGTTCAGGGTCCGCTGGGTTCCCAAAGCAGACCCAACTGCGGAGGTCTCGGGCCATTTCGGGTTTGGGAGTTTGGAGTTCATGCTCTGGGGATGTCTGGTTCGCCCACCCACATAGCTGACCAGGTCGCCCTGCAGGGATCGGGGTACTAGCACAAACACCATCAGGTTCCTGCCTGGCAACACCCACGTCTGCGGAACGAAGTCTCGGCTTCGAAGCTGAAGCCATGCGCACATGACTCACTGAGAGCACACCGCATGTTGCGAATGCTATTGTAGGGCCAAGTCGCGGAACCCCTCGGCCCCGAAGCGTGGACAGCACTGAGGCATTGCTTGGAGATGCTGTGCGAGCATGTCTTTGCGGCAGATGAGCTGCATCAACCTGTCAAGGATGTAGATTCAATAAACACGGGACCACGAATCGACACCTGAAATTATGATAATTAATTATGTGAGCCTTGTTGTAAAGCCTCCCGAACACAGAACCTTTCATTCCGACAAGCCCCAAAAAATTCATCACAGTAGACTATTTTCGGGTCTCGCGTACTAAAGTCAGACCACGGCACGGGAAATGATTCATGCATTGGAAGGGCTCCATACGGAAGACGCTGTTGAAGACCACTGCCGGGCTGTCGGACCATGCCACATCCCAGGTGTCATCACCTTGAGCGAACACGGGAGCCTTAGGATCCTAGGCATATTGGGATTACTTCCGCTTTGCTCTCAAGTTGTGCAAGTGCAGGCACCCTTACTGCATCGTCGCCAGCCAGCCTTTCGCGCACTCTCCTTGACCTGGGCTGCAACTGCTCCCGTCACACCCGCTCAAGACCTCGTCCAGACAGGAAACAGCAGTTTACGGCGGCCCACATGCGAGGATGAGACAGTGTGGAGGGCCAGAGTACACCCCGGTGACACAAGTGACTCATCGCACCCTTTGTGTTACCGTCACCGTTCATTAGGCAAGTGTATATAGATCCGCAAGCATTGATAGCGCCATGACCTCGACGGCCACCACCCTGACGACAACTGCGGCCAGGACGTCGACTATCAGAGCTCGAGGCCTCGAGGAGACAGGAGACCAATTTTACTGGCGTTCAAGCATTTCGAAACCTGTTTGCGGTGGGACAGGGCCGCAGCAGGACTATGCGAATGTTGGGGCATGAACGCAATCTCTGCGTCGCACCACAGCGACACCAGGCACGCCTCCGGCCCTCCTCGCGATCAGACTAACCACTTCACAGAGCAACGGCCCCGTAGTCTGTGCCATACTTACTGTTTGGGTCGCAAAGAAATCATCAACACCAGCATCGATGTCACAGACAAGCAAAGCTTAGGGCTCAATCATCCTCCTAAAACCTGCGACCGAACAGGAAGGGCTTAGCTCCAGGATTTGACAGGAGAGAAACCTGACTACAGCCAAGCTCAGGAAGAGTCACGCAGTCGGCTCTGCACCGAACAAACTTGATAGTGACCCGATTGCGCTTCTTGCCCATGACAGTATGTACAGTACTAGACATCCTTGAGCCGAGAAGGCAGGTGGCCGTACTTCACTGCACGTTGTGCGTCTACAGACCGCTTCAAAACAGCGCAGGATTCTGCCAGAGCTGTGACACAGCAGGTCTGCGGCATGGAGCTGGGGCCAGGGCGAGATTTGTCAATCGGCAGCACCTGAATTTGCCTGGCTTGGGTTTAGGGTTTCGGGTTTAGGAATCTTTGGCTGCCTGCTACGGCATGCAACAGACATCGAAGAAATCAGCCAAGAGCACATGTGGTTTGCCGCTGATGTGCCCATCGGTATCCATCTTTCCCAAATCCTTAGGCCACATTCGTCTCAAGCCGTGGTGAATCTTAAGTCTGAGCAGACAATCAAGATCTCTACAGAAGCTACAGCTGAACGTCCCGAAACCGGATTCCACATATCAAGCCTCTGGCTTCGCTTCCTTTACTTGGGCTGTCGGCAGTTTCACGTGAGGCTCTGCAAAAGGCAGCGCTCTGAGATCCTGTCAGGCACTCCTGACCTGCAGGAGAGCAGGAGATCGAAGCAACAGTTCTTGTGGAGAGCTCTTAAAAACGTGTGATCTGCATCCTTAACCCCATCTTTCATCTGCTTACATCAACACCCAGGCCCACCATCCCTACATCTGAATCGAAACCCACAGGGAAAACTTAATGGTTTGGGGTGCGTTTCATTTCCACACTCAGTCAGCTCTGGAAAATCATGCGACTAACCAGCATACACTACATCTGCATCTACTGGCGGATCCAGCGACACTTACCTCGGAGGCCTCGAACAATGCACACCACAAACAAGGAAAGGATCAAAGGGGAGGAAAGCGGGGCAAAGGGAGGTTAACCCAGCTATGCGAAATGCTACGTACAGGCATTCACCGATGGCTTCGGTCCAATAATTCGATTCAGACACATGCCTACCAAGCTAACCTGTCTTTCTCACTCACGAACACAATCCAACAACAAGCTAAACCTCGCGGCAACTTCAACTTTCCCGAAGACTCGCAAGGAACTCAAGGAAACGCATGACCTGCGAAAGCAAGTGTCAGAAGATGCCTCTCCACGCGTGCAGCACACACAAAGACAATTCAGTCAAAGCTCTGAAAGCCGGCGCTCGCAGCAAAGCCAAGCGATCTTCGGGAAATTTACGAGCAAGTGCGTCGCGAACACGCGGCACCGAATTATGCAGAAGTGCGCGTGCACGATGTACAACAGTCCATGCTCGGCCTCGAGCCCGACAAGCTGAAAGGGCTCGGCCAGGGATGTCAGGGCAACCCGCGAAAAGGAATTAGCGAGCACGCGAAGCTAGATGAGCTGGCAAAAGCCGGTGACGAACTGGGGAATAAACAGTTTCAGGGAGTCCGCGCAAGCAGGCCGTTCGGCAGGTGACAGTGTGCAACACTCCCGCCGTGCATTGGTCGGCGCCGTCTTAGTACGGAGCGCAGAGTCGTGAGCTGCAAGAACTGTATGCTGCATCGGAAACTCGATGCATCCATCAGGAACGAGGAGGGAGAAGAAGGCGGCACATTCGGGTCAGGGTCAGCGCAGCCAGAAAACTCATGTAAGAGGCGCCTGCATCAGCGAACATCTTCTGCAGGGCGGCCATCTGCACCTGATGCACGCAGAGGTCCCCTTGGGCTGATGGGTGCGTCTGCTGAGCACACCCGCCTTCAAGGCCTTCTGCAAGTCCGGCGGACAAGCTGCGAAGCAAGGCCTCAGCTGCTCTGTCTGAAAAACAGGGCCAAAGGGCTTCAGTGCTCAGGCTGGAGCGCATGCTTCACAGGCAAGACCTGGCCCAGGACCAAAGGACAATTGCAGAAGCAAAGCACATGCGTCGGAGGACCTGCACATGGTACGGGTTCACCGGACCTCGCCTGCAGAGTTCAGTATGAAGGATCGGCTTCTAAAACTCATGCAGATCCATACAAATCCAAGTTCTTTGCTGAGGCTAAGTTCAGGACGCAGTGGCTATGTACACTTCTGTGCTAGCAGAGACAATCATGTGCTTCTCCACCTGGCGGCAACAACAGATTTCGGGGGAAAGGCAGGGTTAGCAGGGGAGCCGCCCACCTTGGGGTTGACAAGGCAGAACCAACCTGGCACTTCAGGATCTTGGCGTTTGTGAGAGCAAGTCGCGGGCTGCTACAACAAGGCGAGGCCACAGTCGGCATGAGGCTCCACGACCTTGGCCAACACAAGCCGCCTGCTTTCCGACAGGAGCTACCTGAACCCGCTGCCCGCACTTGGCGAGCCCGCTTTCTTCATGAACAAGGCGGAGAATATCCAAAACTTTGGAGCTTCACCAGCAGGCTCTCTCTTACTTGCTTCAACAGGATGTGGGTCAAACTCCCAGCCCTGCGCAGACACACCCAACAGCTTTCTGGGATTCGCTTCACAAATAAACCTCTGCTCTCTTTCCACGGCTCCTTCTGCTCACCCCTCCTTTTCTTTCGCTGGGGTGGCGCCCCTCTCCCTCTATATCTCTCTCTCCGTCAGTCTTTCTTTCGCCAGGGTCTCTCTTCTTCTTCCACAGGGCTTGGGGGGATATCCCGAAACCAGAGGTATGGCGAACAGGCAGGGGAGCTGGATGCGCAACGAACGACATCAGAAGGCCTGAGGCAGCAACTATTTGGATTTCCCTCTTCTTCCTGGCACATCGCACTGGGCATATTGAAGGAAGAGTCCGGCAGAAATTCTCTCCCGCTACCTGGGTCCATCGGACTTCTTCGTGGGCCGACCTGGCCAAGCCCGGGTGCTCACATACATGATCAAATTACATAATGTTATCGCGTTACCTTACATTGTGGCAGATCGTCGTGCGCGGTCTGCCAGCGTTACTCGGTGCTCCACAGGCCAGCGATTCTTATGGAGATGGTGATCTTCCGGCCGCCACACTCCAGCAGCTCGCTCAAGTCGCAGGCAGCCTCGGATGCAGAGCAACACCCCAGGACCATACTTAAATGTACTATCTAACGCGGACAAAAGTATTGTCCTATCTGCTCCCACCAAATACTCTGTCATGCTCTACATCATACACTTCAGGATACTGTGGACAAAGCTGGGGTCCTCTAGAAAGCTTGGCTCCTGGCCTCAGCCTCCTCAGGAGTCGAGAAGGTCACGAAACCTTGGGGCACAGGGTGCGTTCTGTAGGGTATTGCTTGGTGCGCATAGGGTGGTATGGTTTAGTCATGGGTTCGGGTTCCACACAAGCGCATGGCGGCGCAAGTCCACAACATGTAAGAGACGAGCCAAAGCCCTTGCAGGCACTGCCCTCACCTCAGCGGGCAAAGCCACCATCCCGGCTCGTCCCTAATCTGACAAGGACGACTTGCAGCAGAATCGACACAGTGGGCAAGCCTGCTTCCCGCACGAGGTGAATGCGTTCGATCTTGCCCACGTGCTTTAGAGCAGCCTTGAATCTAAATGCCATCATCAACATGTGTTACCTCGTCGCTTTGTGAGAAAGACGCCTGGATTGCTATTCCGAGCTATGCTGAAAACAGGGCACCTCGATGCGCTTTTCCTCGATGTTCGCAGGCAGCCTCCCTCAGTACGGTTTACCCGGCTTACAACTCGGACTTGCCAAATGAGGTCTATCGGTGCGCAGTCAGTGCGGTTTCGACTCTTACTCGCACGCAGCAGGCAAGGATCCTCACAGTGCGGCTTAAGGTTTGCAGGGTTCGGGGCTTAGGGTACTTGACCGACTCATGGTGCTCGGATCTGCACCGAGAAAGACGGTGTCCGGCTCCGGTGGGGGACCGTCATCCTCCGAGGTGCTTGCGGTGCTGCCACAGAGGTTTCAAGAAACCGTTGGGGCTCCGAGCTGGCTTTAAAAAGGACTTGACTTTTGCTGAGATCTACTACCACATGACACCAGCGACGAGGCGAAAAAAGAGCTGGACCACAGCAAGGAGCCGTGCCTCCATCGTGGCCGCGTCGCGCTTGACACCTCGCTCCTCTTCGCCCTGCTCTTCACCTCCGCACCAAGCGAAGCCAAGAGCGTCTCAAGTGCTCAGCCTCTCAGGCCAGAGCTTGCAACCACGAAGGGGCTGGGCCTGTTGAAACACACAAACAGGCGAAGGCAGAATTCAGAAGTTCGCTTCTGCAGCGCCACTGGGCGGCCGGCGTTGTGTTTGCTGGCCGCTGCTTAAGGGCCTCTCTTCTTTTGCAGTCTATGATGCCGGCAAGAGCAAATCACAAGCCATTTCCGGGGGGCAGCGTGCCGTTTCCGGCATGGTGGCAGCTGGGCTCAGAGACAGACCTCAATCGCAGGAACGCAAGCGAGTGGCGACTAAGCCAGTAAACAGCCTTTCCCAGAGGCTCTTGCCATGGAAGGCCGTGCGGGCCTTGCCCTTTGATGAAACCTGCAGGAGAAGGAGCAAGATCCGACAATGAAGGTCACGGGCCAGGTTGCATGTCGCAGGTCCGCACCTTGCCCAGCGCGATGCACCGACAGACGTGCCCTGCTTTGGGGGTCTGAAACGGCCTTGGCCGTGCAGAAGAAGATGAATACCTTCAACACCACGGTAGAGAAGCGTCTGAGAGCGGAACGGACGCTGGTAGAAGATGTCCATGCTTCCACACACCAGATATCTGGCGCAAGCAACACGGCAGGACGTCATGATTTGGCCATAGGCTTTCAGACTGAAGACCCGCAGATGCCATGAATCGGCACAGACGCACTGTGGGACCCAAAATCTCCGGGCAGCCTCGGCTCAAGCCTCAGCGCTCTGAACGAAATCACAGCTGATGCTTGTCATGCATCCCTGTATAGATCGAACGGTTCCAACAAGAAGTAATTGTGGTCTGTGAGCTGGGCATCGAGGACACAGTGGCTTTATCTTTCAACTGTCAAGCCTACCATCAAGCTCAAGTAAGAAGTGGCCTAACACGATCGCGATGATATGGCCACTGGGCCGGCTCTCGACACTTCGACTCGAGACGACAACTTCAAACGGCAGGCAAAGGGTGGTAAGCTGTGGGCACTTTGCTGGGGCTGGCCTAGTGTCTGCAAAGGAGCATGGCTCAAGCCACAGTTTGCTGGAACCACCGAAGCCTACCCTGAGAACTGGCACGATCCCACATGCGACCCATCGGTTCTTTTTCCTGGGCAGCGAAGTACACTGAACCAAGAAGACTAAGAACAACTGCACCTCCAAAACCACTTGCCCAACCCGCCTCAACTCGCCTGCCCAAGAGATGTGTGAAACGGCGAATTCAAACCAGCAATGATGCCGGCAAAGGTCTGAGTGACGTTAACTCATGGTTTCTCCAGCACAAAGAGTTCAGCCTCCCGTCGGTTTGGGCACTGGCCGCGGCACCATGAAGGATTTGCTCCTTGGCCGTGTTGGCCTCAGCCAGACGTGGGAGAGTTTCCTCAGTGGCTCGGACCTCAGCACTTGGAAAGCTGGCATCACGGTTCCGGCAACCCCCAGCCCGGCCTAGAACTCAGAGTCTACTGAAACAGCTGGAAACAGGACACCATTCAGTCAGAGAAGCAATGAGGAGGACCGTCGCAGAGGGTGTGTCTCCTCTGTGTGTGCGGAGGGGCTGCGTATGGCCGGCAGCGGTCCAAGGACGCCGGGCCCACCCTGCCCATCTGCTTGGCCCGGCCTGTCGAAATCCTCAGCAAGAGGGGGCACTGGCGGCACTGGCAGCGCACCCAGTGTACCATGACACGCCTCGCTTGGTGAGCCCAGCGGTCGAATGAATGTCCGCTGCAACAAAGCATCTGTCTTGGCATGCCCCTCGTGCACTGCATGCTGCTTTGCATGCTCCTGAACGGCCTCTCTGTACTGACAGGTCTCGGTTTGAGAAGGGACTGGAGCACTGTTCTGCAGTTTGACCTTCAGGTTCGAAATTGCACGTAGCCATAGCTTGCGCTCACCCAGGCTCCTGGCCGAGAACTGATGGTCCTCGACTGAGAAACAGCTACAATTGATCCCAATCTTCTCACAGCAGATGGACCGGTCGGTCACGTAGATTTCTGCAAGCTTCTGCCGACAGCTTTCATTCTCGTACAAGATGATTTTGGTGTGGTCCTGCTGTGTCTGCACATGCAACTCACAGTAGAGGACCGATGCCGTGAAGCAGTCATCAAAATGCACCAAGTATCCAGCCATCAAGCGCGAGTGGGTAGAAGGCACTACGTCCAAAGGACGACAGGAGATTTGGAAGGGCGGGAAGAGCGTTTGGGTAACCAGGCGCATAGCACGAGAAATGTCAAGCACCCAGCGGGATCGAAGTTCCTCTGCTTCCCGCTCATTCTCTCCACGAACCCCGAAGTAGTAGCAGGCCCCTTGAGCAAACAAGGACACCTTGAATATTTTGAAGTCAGCCACATTGAGCATGGGATAAGTACTTTGGAACTTGCAGTTGCGCACAAGTGTGAAAGGGGATAAGGATATGGCCATTTCTGCACCGTCCAGGTAGAACCTAAATCCATTGATGTGCAAGGAGACATGCACAGGATCTACCCTTTCCTCGGTGGACAAGTGCCATAGGTCACCCTCTCGAATGGGCGCACCTCTGAGAGGCTGGTCTGCCAAGAGCGAATAGGACAAGCGCCCTTGAATTGGGTAGTTGTAGGAGATCACGTCGGTCTCAGGCGCTGGTTCCGGCTTTCGGGGCCCGTGTGCGACCACCTCCCCTGCACGCTCGAGCTGCTCGTTCAGCCGACTGGATCCACAAATGCAGCGACAAAGTGCGTGGGAGGTCATGCTCGACCATCTCTGCAACTCCACAGCTGCTGTTGCTCCAGCTACGAAAGTCTGTCGGTATCAACCCCGCGTGCTACGACTCTCTTCTTTCAAGATCTTTTAGGTTTGTTCCATGAACTCTACTTGTCGCAAGCTGGTGCTCCTGCTACGGTCTACCTTTCAAGCCATGCCTGGGCCAAACAGCCACTTCGGCCCCCCTGCGGCTGCGTCTCCGTGCACAAAACACGAAACTGTAATTTCGTTTGGTTGCTGTTGGTCTAAGCATTCATTCAGCGAAAGCCTGGTCAAGTTGTCTAAACCTGCAAAAGGAAAAGCTCGCACCGGCGCGCGCTGGCTGAGGAAGACACGCTGCACAAAGCTCCGTGATGGCAGGGGAGCCCACCTGCAAGTCAAACGGGCACGCTGGTTAGGATCCCATCTCCCTCAAGCCCGTGGCCTGGTAGCTGGGAGAACAGGCTCTGAGCTGCAAGAGAAAGGGCTCGAGTCACAACCCAGCGAGGGCTCGGTTAAGTCGTTTCCCCTGATCTTCATGTTAAGATATGCTGTGAGGAGTCGTGGCTCATTGCCACAAGCCCCTGCTTAGACAAGCCCGTGCCTGGTCCCACACCATCGACTGGCCTCGGAAAGCTCGGTTGATGGTTGAATTGAAGACTCTTGAGACCAAAGACCGTGTTGATCTACAGGTTCCTCGGTCTGGAAGCGCGGTCACATGACTCATGGGGACAGCAGTGGCAGATTTTGGTGCCTTTCAAGCCCACCCCAGGCCCAATGCTACTTGAGAGTGCACACAACCGCTACACTACGGGTGCAGGGTTTTTGCACTGACTTAGGCTCCGCGAAGCTGGAGAGGGATCGAACCTTCCATCATTGCAAGGATTGCTCTCAGAAAGCCGACGCCTTAATGCCTTTTTCCAGCGATCCGCAGAAGGGGAGCAGGGAGGAGAGCAAGAGCTGGGCAAGCTTTCCTGCTCTCAGTTTTTCCGTCGCAGTGCCCAGGCGACCTCGTCAGCCCAGAAGGCAGGGATCACAGCAGAGGCAAAGCCGCCAGTCGCCTGGCGGCTCTTCGGTGCCGAACAGCGCCGCCAGCGGCTCCTCCAGCAAGGACCGATACCTCGCAAGGCCGACTCTCGGCTCTGGCCTGGAAGCCCTTTTTAGGGCCCGTCTACATCGCCAGGCTGCAGCGGGTACGATGGCAGCCGCTCCTGAAAGGTATCGCCAGGGACAAGCAAGTAACAAGCCGCTAAACATCGCCTCTAAGACTCTACTGAGCCCCAAAAGGATCAAAAAAAACCCTTGGAATTCATGCGAAGCTCGTAGACGTAGACGGCGCTGCCATGGGATTTCCAGGACATGGGACAGCGTAGAACATCTGTCAAGCCGAAGGTGAGCGCATGGGGCAGCATCTGCCTCATGGCATGCTGATCAGAGCGCACGCGAAATCACGCAGCGCTTCAACCTTACGAAGCTGGCGCCTGCCGAAGACGCATCAAACCATTCAGACATCAGCCAGGGTCTTTGATGCTAAGGACTTGGACGGGCTGCAAGGTGGCCACGCGCTGCAGCAGCTTGCATTCATCGAGCTGCCTGAAAATTTCCATTTCTTGCAGCTAGGGACAAACGGGCTCCGGTGGTGCAGGCCTAGAAAGTGTGTCCATCACCGCGGCAGGGAAACCTAAGTATCGAAACATGTCAAACTCATTGTCAGCCAAGCAGCGGACATGTTGGCATGGTTTCAGGCAAGTTGCACAATGAGCTGGTAAAGACTGCAGTGACGTGGCACCAATCACGCCAGGTCTGCAGTATGTCTCCACGGATTAAGCAGTAACTTCGGCCGTCACGGAACCACGTGGCCCCCTCCTGAACGCAGCAGACATCTGCTCTAGTGACTAGTAGCTCCTGTCAACGGCTGTAGGCAAGAGCACCTTCGTGTCCAGCCGTGTCCATTCCTTCAGGCAGCTTCCAGCAAGGAGCATAGCCGCGTCGTGCCGCGCGGCGGCCAGTTCCACCCCGACGATGGAAGCCTAGAAGGCACTCTGCACACTCCAAGGTCAAGCTCCCGCCAAGGGGCCCAAAGGGCAGAAACCAGCTCCTACCGAGCCGCAGCCTGCGATTGCTGGAGCAGCGCCAGGGCACAGCGGCCCGCGCCACTGCCCAGCTCGGCTGCAGCCTCCTTTTCACCAAAGTCCTGGAGGCGGAGGCGCGCAGCGACTTGTGCCGCCCCCTCTGCAGTGATCTCCCCGTAGATGCCTAAAGAACGCGGACTCGGAACGTCTCAAAAACTTGCAAGGAACACGATGAAAGGACAACTGCCAGGCTGCTGCCATCAACAGAAAAGCCAACTGTGCTGCGTGCTCAGCTGCTTTCTGGATGCAGCTCCATCTCCTCGAGTAAGGCTCGTGTGGTCTTGGCAGGCCCGAACCACACGTCCCTCTGCAGCTGTGGCGGCAGCACCTCTAAAGAAGCCAAACACACTGTTTCCCATACTCAGGACGACCACACCTCTGCGTAGATTCGCAGCGTTTCGCTCAGCTCAGCCATTGCGGCCAGTATCGGACAGCATACCAAGTGCTGTGAATGAATGCCGCGCAACACTTCTAGATTCACGACAATGTATGTGCTCCAACAGGCTTCATGCAGGGAAGAAATTTTACAATACCTAAATACAAGCAGAAATGCTACAGATAGATAGCTGATGATAGCTGTTACAATCCCTGTCTTCTGTGGCACGATCCAATGTCATAATGCTACGTTCACGCAGGCGCGACGGCATACAGTAGTGAATCGGTCGTTGAGCGGCTGAGCTTCCAGATCGGCACAACTGCCAAAATCCAGGGTCACAAGCAATGACACACAAACCATCAGGCAGCGAACCCGACTCCGAAGTCCTTCCTGCTGCCGGCTTGCCTGAGTTCCCTTTTCTGCTCGTAGCACGGGGTTGCTCGAAGCCCAGGCCCGATCTTCCGGAGCCTCGGCCAGCGCACTCTGCAGCCACCTGCCAACACTCCAAGTAAGGAGAGAGATGGGTACATACTCTACAGCTTTTACTCACTTTAGGGTACTGCTGCGCTTCAGCCATAAGGGCTGGCAGCCTGCAGCACTGCAAAGATCAAGGTTGCCGCAAAGGGTGTCGGAAGGGTGCTGCTGGCTGGCAACACAGAAAACATCAAGATTCCTGAAAAGGGGTCGGTGGGAGTGCAAAACGCTCCGGAAAAAACAAAGTTCCCGAAAAAGATGTCAGAGGGAGGTGCGTGCTGGCAGCCCGCAGCACTGGAAGAAGCCAAGATTGCAGAAAGAAGGGTCGGCAGGAGGTGCGGGCTGGCAGCCCGCAGCACTGGAAGGAGCCAAGATTCCCGAACGCGCTGGCCCCCGCAGCACTGGAAGAAGTCAAGATTCCCGACAATGCCCGAAAAAGAAATCCAAAATGGTCAGAAGTTCAACTGACTCAGCATCTCCTTTATGCCTGACCCGGTATTTCTCCAACACGTACACAGGAGCTCAGCTTCCTTGGCATCCCAAAGAACACCCAAAGGTAACCCGAAACCGGAGGCATTGTGGGAGTGTGAGATCAGTGTCAGATCGATGGTCCGTAGCAACCTGGCAGTTGCGGGTGTCCAAGTGCCCTTGACCATAAACCCGCAAAAGCTTGTAGCGGCAGTGGCTTCCGGCATTGGACTTTTCCATGCACTTGGACCGTGAATCCAGGTCCGCCCCTGAGCGTATCGAGCCACAGCCAGGATGACTCAGCCACCCTTTGCTTCGAATATGTTGCTGATGGAAGCTTCCTTGGCCGCGCTCTCCCAACCCCGTTGCCTGGCAACATCGGTTTGCCACGGCTGCGGCATCTCGGGGGTCGCCTCTGCCAGCTTGCTTCGAAGCTCCTCCAGTGGGATTTGTTGCATGTCAGGACCACCATGTGCAAAACCGTGTGCCCCGCACCTCGAGCTGCACGTTGGCAGCGCTGCGGTAGAAGTGAGCCCAGCCTTGCGGCAAAAACTGAAGGACGAGAAAAAGCGGAAACAAGGCATCTCTCCCAAAGCTTGTGCCCCGTCGCCTTTAGCCCCAACCCGGAGCCAAGCTTGCTAAAGCATCACACATCCGCAAAACTGAATGCATGGATGGCGATGCTGTGCAACGACAGCCAGATGATCTTGCGGGCTTTGCTCGTCACTGAAAAGCAAGGAGACGTTCGGAGCGGCCTGGAAAAGAGACGCGATCGACCTCCACATCGACAAGAAAAGGTGTTTCCTGGCTCATGGCTGTAGCACAAAGCAAGCCATCAGTCACCAAACGACAAGACAACATTGCGCCATGCAGAGTGGTCCAACAATCCAGATTAGAGACGCGCAAGGTTTGACAAACGAGACTCGCACAGGGTAGGAAAGCCAGGCGTTGGTGGCCCTGCATGTCGGGCGACACTTTTTCCGTACTGCGAGCAGCTCACTTGTCAAAGCTAGTTTAAGGTTGCAACGCTAGCGACTGGCTCTGCATACTTCACCTACTCCGCCGCCACTTCCGCGAGTGGCGCTTCCTTCAGAGCCGTTTCCTGGGAAGTCGTTTCCTGAGGCCCCGTGTGCTCAACCTGAGCATTGTCCTGTGGAGCCGTTTCCTGGGCACCCGATTCCTGATAATGCAGTTGCTGGAACGAGGTCTCCTGCACATACTGCCCCTCGGGCATAGACTGCACCATGCACACCATGGGCATCATCGACATCTGACTGTCCGCATATGGGGCCTCGGCTGTGGAAGCAAACTCAAAACGGCTCCCCCCTTGACTCTTGAACGCAAAAAACTTGAAACAACGTATCAGAGCGAAGCACCATGACAGGAGTCATCACGTTGGTCGACGGATCGTACATCACCATCTGCATGGCGCTGCTTGCATCAGGAGTGTGCACCACCTTTTGAGCTTGTTCCCGGATATCCGACTCAAGGTTTGCCACGGCTTGCTCGAGCTTCAGCTGTCGTGTCGACAACCTTACTCTTAGCAACTAGCGGCTGTTAGCAACGCTCGCACGCAGCACTTTTGCAGCCCCGCCAAAGCTGAGAACATCACTCTTCAAGGAACGCGTAGATCTTGTTGAATTTCCCAGCCTCCTTGCAGGAAACAGGCAGCAATGTGCCACAAAAACGCTGGCATAGTTGCTAGTGTTGGCCACTTGGCTTAGCGCTGACGCTTGCTAGCAGCAGCAACAGTAGCAGGAGCAGGAGCAGTAGCAGGAGCAGGAGCAGTAGCAGGAGCAGTAGCAGGAGCAGTGGCCGCAGCAGTAGCAGTAGTAGTAGTCGTCGTCGTAGTGGTAGTGGTAGTGGTAGTGGTAGTGGTTTTGTCACTGGTAGTGGTAGTGGTAGTGGTAGTGGTAGTGGTAGTGGTAGTGGTAGTGGTAGTGGTAGTGGTAGTGGTAGTGATGGTAGTAGTGGTAGTGGCAGTGGTAGTGGTGGTAGTAGTCGTCGTCGTCGTGGTGGTAGTAGTAGTAGTAGTAGTAGTACTAGTACTAGTACCAGTAATAGTACGCAACAGGCTATCGTCATCAGAGCGCCCATCTGAAGCATCAAAGCTATTATCAGCAGTGGCATTACTGCACCTTCAGCGCCATCATGATATTCCTCGGCCGCGCCTCACGCTCGAAGTTTGCCAAGGCCTGTGACATCACCTCCTGGGCCCTGTGGAGTGATCGCTCCAGTCGCAGGTTTTCCGGGACGAATTGCATCGGCTCGCCTCGGGAGACGACACTCCACGACCAAGCTAAACCTTTCTCGCAGGGTAATGAATAAACACACAAGACCAGTACATTTCTAGCCAACTCCCTCGTCAACCTAGCTTCTCCTCCGAGGTGCTGAAGCCGTCCACGTAGTAACCCCCACGCATGCGGGCCACGTCACAGTCAAAGGACTAATGACTAATGAGGACGACTGAAACTTCACTTCGGGCCAGCACACTGTGGAAAAGGATACGGTCAGCAGCAGACCACAGAACCCACGATAGCGCAGCCATGGAAAAGCATCAAACCCCAAACTTGGGTGCATGTCCTGGCCCGTTAGCAGCCACCACAAGAGTATGCCAAGGCCTTCGACAGAGGTTCGACTGCACGAAAGCTTTCCAAAGATTCTCAACGGCCACCCTAAGAGCGTGGCCATAAACGTCGCTGGCTCCGGGCACCATGAGACCTCGGAGGACCTCCGGCGGCGTGGCTGCCAGGTTGCCGGGAAAAGCCTCTTCTGCAATGCAAACCACAGAGAGAGAAGCGGGGACAAAGAGGTGTGGTTCTAAGGGCTCTCCAAAGGTGGCCTCCACATCATAGCAGCAGCCATAAACATCAATGGTGTTCGGCCGCCTGCTTCGGCTAGCTTTGACATGCTGCACAAGCAGCCTACCAAAGAGCTCAGCTTCAGCCACAGCCGCTCGATCTCCTCGACCAGACGCCGAATCGACAGCGGATACCTGAAATTGCAGTGAATCCGTAGGCACGGCACAACTGAAGCGCCTCACCAGATCCTACATCCATCTCTGCGACTGTGTGGCGAATAGCGTGCACAGCATGGGAAGCGTCGATGGTGGACGTAGCGCGCCCCTGGAAGGTGCAGGCATCTGCCGACTGCTATGCCCCTCGCATTAAGGCCAATAGTGCGAAGAAGCCACAGAAGACAGGTCGAACAAACAAGAGCCAAACAAGAGACAGCACTTATCCTGCTTTACTACTGCTAACTGCTACTTGAATACCAACACTGTTGTCACCACGCTTCCACCAATGCCGCCGATGGGGATTACATGCTCCAAGCGCGTCTCTGCGGCGGAATCGCTCCAGGGGTTGACAGGCCGCGGCCCGCTGCGCTGTGCTCACCAGCACGGAGTTGCCAAAATCCTCTGGGCGAGGAAGCAGGAAGAGAGACTGAGAGAACAGGAAGAGAAGGGAGAGAGAGCGAGAGACAAGGTTCACTTCACACCGCTTCTTTTGCGGCCCCCTTAGCAGCCTCAATTCTTCCGGGCATCTACCAGCCGAGCGCGACCGTCTGCATCCATACAGCAGTTGCCAGCAGAGATGTCTGCATGGATTATTCCATTGAGGCGCAGGAGCTTCACCTAAGCATTTGTGGCAACAGACCTCCAACATCTGATATTGCAGACGAGGTGCAGCATGAAGTAGCTGATTGATGATGCCGCATCGCGCTGGTAGATCCAAGCTTTCCGGCAGAATTGACTCCAGGGGCTGGCCCGCGTGCTCCAGCACCAGCATCAGCTCAGAGTTCGCTTCGGCATCCTGCAGCACAGAAATTCGCAAGCCGGGGCGCCCCGGCCGCCGGGTCCCTGGCCTCTGCGAGGAAGGTCGGCCGCGAGGAGAGCAATTCGACGACATGCGCCCGGCCCGTGTGTTGAGGGCCTGATGACAGGCGATCACCCACCGCCTCGGTACACACGCATCGCAATTACCAGCAAGCCTTTTCCATTCATGCCTATGTGCTTGCGAGTAGCTTTCTCCTTCTCCCACTGCTTCCTGTGCTGTCCTCTGAAGCAGGCCGAGTTTGGCCCCAACTCTAGCGACCTCCAAGACTTACTGCGCTACCACAGATTGCCCCAACACGTCCTAGCAAAGACTGCCCGAAAAAAGCGGCAACGGCCGCACTGACTTTTGGGAAGTGCTTCAGCACGGCGAGGTCTCCGAAGCTCCTGGCAAAGACAGTCTTGCACTTCACCGCCATGCACGATTGCCTGCTCAAGAAATCAATCTGAATCACGAGGCCTCTAGACCAGCAGATGCACACCGACACATAAGAACCCCCAAGAGCTAGTGTCAATATTCCCGACCACTTTAAAGGCAATGCTTGTAGAGACCGTTCGAGGGTCAAGTTTGAACCGCTTCCCCGGAATGCAAGACGCGGCATCGGAAACAAAGCAGAAATGCGCCGGCATGGCTGTGGAGGGGAAAGCTGCAGCTCCCACACTGATGCAAACGTGCCGCTGCCAAGGTGCCGGCCTCTTCCAGTCTCAGTCTCAGACGAACATTGATCTAGCTCAACTGCTGGGCTCCTGCAGTGGCACGCACCCAGCCGTCCGGCCCAGCGAAGTGCAATGCAGCGCCCGCCTGCAGCAAAGCCTTTGTTGGATCGAGGTGCGTGCACCCTCCCACAACCCCAACGCGTTTCAACGATGTCTGCGCCTGTGCTGCCGAAGCGGCCTGCAAGACTCAGCAAGAAACTGCAAAGTGGGCACCACATGAAAACTTGGTTGGCCCATGGTATGACCTCACTGCATGCGCCGCGTCTGCCAGACAGGCGGCATGGCAGAGCACGCCACATCTTGCTTGGACATGGGGTGCAGCTGTACTTGTGCTTGTCTGGGAGGCTTCGGTCTTCCAAACTGGGGACTACTCTGCAGGATGCATGAAAACAAGACTGTTCATCGACCTTGGCATCTACTCCAGCTTGGCTCTGCCCCCAAGAGCTCTTGCAAAGCTATGTCCATGCACCACTTGCGGCAGGAAAGACTCCTGAGCACATGGTCACATGGCTTTGTAATGGCATCATGTGTGTCGCACAGCCATCTGTAGCTGACATCTGGGGCAATGCGACTTTGCCACATCATCACCTTGCTCTCCAACTGAGAGTTTCTGAAACTACAGACCCCAAAAAAGGCAACATAAGGCAACCCATAGCAAGTCCTAGTACGACTCTTAACTCAAGGACCACCAAACAGGACACCTAACTCTAAGAAAGCACCACCTGCTCACGAATCAAAACTGCGACCCAGCTAGTTGAGGCGGTTGCCGTCTGGATCTCTAGGGCGTTCTGCTTCGTCAAGCCTCTCCTTTGGAGCCGAAGAGCTTGCTCTCCCCCAGGCGAGGTTCGAACGGCGGTTCGGGTCAGCTCTGTCTTCTCTTTGGGCAACCAATACAGGCAGACTCAGGCATCCGAGGCGAGACTCTTCTTGCGGCCAGACGAAACAAGAGAAAACAGCGGCAGGAAGAGCGCAGTTCGTGCTGCTGTACGGGCCCTTCATGCACCCCATCTCCGAAAGGAGACATACGAACTGAACGAACCACCTGTGCTAGTGCTGTCAATCCCCGACAAATCCTTGGAATTTGGAACCCTCGCCCGCCTGCATTCCCCTCGGCCAGTCAGCAGCCAGCAGAACGTCGATCGTGGAGGCTCGCTCGGCAACCTCAATGAGTGTGTTCTCGCTCAGCCGTCAGCTTAGCGCTGCTACGAAGACTCGGAGGTGCGCAGGGCAATTGAGGATACAAAGCTCGAGGTCCAAACTCCAGCGAGGTTCCGAGTACCCGAAGGATCCCCAAGGATCCCTGAAGGAAGGAAGACCCTGAGCCAGAAACCAGCTTGATCAGCCGCTTCACGGCTGCTGACGTGTAGGCCTTAAGTCTCTGCTGCTAGGTCTCATAGCTTCGCGCTGGACAAGGGTAAACAGGGCTGCAGGTATCGAAATGGACTTTTGAAAGATACACCCTAGGCCCAAGAAGCCAACAGATCGTTTCAAGGCCCCGGCAGTTCCAACAAAGTTGGGACTGTCATCCATTACCTCTGGAAACTGTTGGCACGCTCTGGCTTTGCTAGCTCTTTGCCTGCCAAGCTTTTTTTTGCTGACAGTCCACGAAAATGTCCAAACATGCTGAGAGCATGGATCAGGCGAAGAATGATTCATGCTTCACTTAGCAAGAAACAAGTTCAAAACTTTGGGACGTGGGTGGTTTCAATCGAAATCCAAAGCATCGAAGTCCCGAAAGGAGATCTGAGGCCCCATCCGGTTTCGCGAACGTGGCTGCATCATAGCTCCTTAAAACAGCTGATGACAACGGGACGACTGGTCCGCAGAACGCAGAGGAGTTGAGATCGCTTTTGGCCTCGCTCGCCAGGGGCTCTCATTTCTCCAAGGGTGGCTGTCGGCTTCCAGGCTTTGGGAACCACGACTGCTGCCACCACCCTGGATATTCACGCCATCATAGGCGTGCAACAAGCGTTCGTCACATGGAGCTGCGAACGGCACTGCTGCGAAGCGGAAGTGTCACGTGCGAGGGGTGCTCGCTGTCAGCGAAGAGGGTGACTGTCGCGGGCGGCCCGACCTACAGAAAAGTGCTGAGCTGGGGGCCTTTACGTTGAGAATCCTACTACCCTTGACTTCCTCAGGGTTGATCTCAGCTGTGACTGAGTCAAAAAGAGAACTTCGGCAGAGAGACCTCGGAGCCGCCCAGGAGCCAATCTTCTTTCTCATCTTGGAGAGGATGGCGCAGCCAGCGCGGATGGGCCGCCGAACAGACGTGCAGTCGGACGCTGTCGCCAGGGCGGAAGTGACAGGCCGTCACCCCGACCGAGATGTCCACGCGACTCACCGAATCCTGTCTTTCATTTCTGTCCGAACACATCGCAAGAGCTACAGAGTTACAGCTGGCCTTCTGAAACTTCACTCGGACGATGTCTTCGCACAAATTCACCTGAGGATTGCTTTCGGATTCGGCACTGCAAAGTGGTTTTCTCAGTCAGGCGAGTCACTGAAGGCCCTCGACCCAAGCCGCGCGTGTCCAGGATGCGATCAAGAAAGCCAGGCTCTGAAGAACCCGAGCCACTGGATGCCTCACGGACTGCACAGAGCCGCACAATGATGTCACATTCTGGTGCCGTGCAGCTGACGTACCTCAGATTCGAGCTTGCCCTGCACGGACTTCTCTTCTCTCGCTCCGCGATGTAGGTTTTCAGACCCGAGGTTGGGTGGAAGACTAGAATGGCCATTATACACGAAAATGTAAATCAAAGCAGGTAGGATGAGGGTCGTAGATAGAGCAGGTGAGTAGCAGCGTTGCAGAGACCTCGCCGACAATCTCCAGGGGCTGCTGCAATGGAGCAGAGGTGAGAACGAGCACGTCTCGCAACCGAGAGCTTTCGAAAGATCTCTGGTCCTGAGCCCCGTCTTTCTGGAGGTTGAGCCAGCCATCGCCAGCGTAGGGCGTCGGATCTTTGGGATCATAAACATACGACAATGCACCTGCTGTTTTGCTGCCTTCATCTGGAAGCAGCAAGCCCGTGCCCAAGCCAGCATCCTTCTCCTGGAGAAAGAACTGCATGGGCTTGGAGGGTGGCGGCCAAACGTCGCACTCCAGCCATGCTTCCTCCCCGTTCTCCTCCTCCTGGATAAGTTGCATGCGCACCGCCGCACGCGGAGCTGCGCCGCTCGTGCCGATCAAGTTTTGACGGTACCACTGCCGTGTATTGTCTGCAACCTGTACTCCATGATTCACCACCACACCGAAGTGGCCTCCGGTGAAGATTGTCAATCTTGCTGCTCCGTTGGTGGCTTGGGTGGCTAGCTGGAAGTCTTGCAGACTTTGAGCTAGAAACATGTCATTCCAACCGGCGATGACATGGATGCTGGGAGGCTCCCGGAAATCCGCAAAGTGACACTGCACATCCCGACCTTCTGCCCAAAATGGATTTGCCGCATCGCGTGCGGTCTGGCCACCGCGCCAGAGAACGTTGGGTCGACCCCAGAGATCCGAATCCGCTTCGCTCGCAGGTCGCTTCGCCAGAGCTGAATCCAGACCTGGCCACTCCTCCAAAGAGAAGAAGCGAAACATGTTCCACAAGAAGCCAAAGCCGCCCTGGCGACCTTGTCGCAAGCCCACCTCCGCCAACCAGATGAAGCGCAAAGCCAGCTCTGCAGCCAGACTCTGTCCATTGACAAAGACCGTCGGATGGATGCGGGAGAAGGAAATCACGGGAACCACGGCACAAACTAGAGGACGATCCTTCGGGGCATCTTTAGCATGTGATGCTGCCAGCGTGGCATAGGATGTATTCCCCAGGAGGCTGTAGCCATGGCAGCCCACCCGACCATTGCACCAGGCCTGCTGACCAAGCCAATCCAGCACCACGGCCGCGTCAGCTTGCCATCTCTGAAAAACCAGGTCAGCCACCTCCTCAATGGGCCCGGTCGCTCGCCAAATGATGTAGGCACAATCTAAAGAGATATACCTTGGGCCTTCAGCTTTTTCCAGCGTCTCGGCCAGGGCATAGTAACAGCCCACGTTCACAAGCACCGAGGGGACACGGCGCTCCAAAGCTACGGTTGGTTTCAGCACCACAACCTCGACGCTGCCATAAGGAGTCTTCAGATCCAGCTGCTGCCGGAGAACTCCTGCAACCAGCAGGAAATATATGTGTATATATATATATATATATGATATGATATGATATGATATGATATGATTTGATATGATATGATATGATATATATATATATATATATGATATGATATATATATATA